TTGTAAAGCGACGCACTACGAATGACGATGAACACTATAGCCAATCACATAAGTACTTTGTAAAGGAAAACCCAAGACGTGATTTTTTTTCATAAAATGCTAAGTTTTTATTTCAAGTTAATGTTAGAGATAGATAGACAATAACAGTCACAGACATAATTTGTTCATATAAACATACATTGTATCAGCTGGTCTGATATTGATAGTGATCACCATGGCAACGCGCTGAGACGTCATCGCATTGCCATGGAAACCATGAATGACATCATTTGCGATGACGTCAGATATACAGAATGGATTTTTAGAGAACTGAAATATACACATGTTAGCGTACATGATAAATTAAGTTACTGATAATAGTTACATCTAAATATCAATTTTGTTCACATAAAGCATGTACAAGTGTGGATGCAGATTCAAAGCGTCACTTAAGACTTAGCTTAAATAATAACACCAGAGTAAAAACGGTCATAAGTTTCACAGATAACACATGCATTCATACGCGTGGACTTACTTGTAGAGCACATGTACGAATCAAAAAAAGTCGACTAAGGTAAAGCAATATTATCTGTTTTTCATAAGAATACATTACACACAATAATTATGAAATAGAACATGTAGACAAATTAAAGCACACCTATTGTACACATTTACAAGTTAAGTTTTTTTTTCTATACTGGCATATGTACTGCCTTTAAAGTACATAAATAAGTTAATATATAGCCTTTACAGAATTTATTGACCTCACATACAACGTATATTGAATAAGTATGCAGTGTAAATGTAAAAAATACAACGCATACTATTTTCATGCAAAGAAATATTTTAATATACTATGCATACTATTTCAGTATGCAAAGTGACTATTCTCCCCAAAAATGTTTGCATACTACATTAGTATGCAAGGTAAATACAAAATGGTACAGCGCATACTAAATTCATGTACAATATTTTTAAACGAATAGTGTAAACTGTTTTAGTATGCAAAATGTATTTTATAAAAAAAAAGAGTACAAACTGAAAATGGTATGCAAAGTAAAATTTAACATACAGAGCATACTATTTCCATGCAAAATAAAGTTTATTTTTCTCGCTTGCTATCTATGTTCTTAATAAAAGTTTGTTGTTGTTGTTTTTTCATCAAAAAGATTCCACACCAAAAATAGTATACAAAGTAAATTTCATGTACAGTGCGTTACATATATTTATGCAAAGATTTAAAAAAAATATTTTAAGCATACTGTTTCAGTATGCTTTTGCTTACTATTTTAGTATGCAAATTTAAGAAACACTTATCGGTAAAGCTTAAATCTGTAAAAACGCATACTAATTTAGCATGCAAAGTAAACATAAAATACAATGCATACTATTTCAGTAAAGCGGAGTAAATCTTACATACAATGCATACAAATTTTAGTATTCAAATAAATTTTAATATACAATATAAACTATTTTAGTATGCGAAGTATATGCTTAAGTAGGTTTCTAACTTAGAAATTCAAAACTCCACCATCAGATATACAAGTTTATAAATATTTACTGATACATTATAAAAAAAAAACATTTCAAATCATGCAATTTGTTGTCTAAATACACCTTTAAACAATTCACATTCATAAAACCTAATCCTAATATGTAATGTGCCTTAGAGACATGAAAAAAGAATTAAAAAAAAACCCCTCATTTTAATGGGCAGATAACTCAAAATGTAGGATGGCAACTTTCATTTTTTTCATAAGTTTATTGTTTTCTTCTCTGTCTTTGTAAAAAAATGAGTTACAAATGTATTTAACTATAGATAGAGAAAAATGTATTTAACTATAGATAGAGTAGTGTCCTACATAATAAATCTAATCTTATGAAAAATCTAATTTCTTTTTTTCCTCCCATAAGTTGTTCCACCTTTTCATTTCAAATGTCGAATTGTTACAGAAAAAAATATTGAGTTTGCAATTATTCATGGAATTTATTAATGTGTAAAATTAAAAAAAAACACGAAACAAACTTGTTGGAAATACGAATGTCCGAATATGTTGGAAAAGCAATTTTTATTTTATCAATAGTTGTACGAACATATTTACATGAACACAAATATAAGAATATAAATAAAAAATGATAAAGTATGTACTTCATGGCATAGAAAAGTATCATATCTACATGAAAATCTTTACATATAGTTCATTTTTGGCCTTTTGAAATTTGTATCAGAAAATCAAAGCAATTTGATATGAAACTTTGTTTTCAGCGATGAGATTAAAAGTCTTGTATTTTTGTTTGTCAGGTTTTTAACATCAACAAACACATATATGAAGTGTAAATGAACAAAAGACTAGGGACAAAATAAAATTCATTAAATATAAAGTCATTTGAGCTTCTTTTAATCCTTGCCACGCTAAATATGTTAAATGGTCTTGCCCATCTTTCAATATGGACAAAACCATTCATCATTTTTAGAGAAAATTTCATAACATTGACCAAAACAGTTCAGACCATGATCAGACGGACTGGTCCAATGGGTAGGACAGTTGCCGCCGGCAGTCTACGGGTCAAACAAAAATAGACGTATTCCTAGACAAAATACAGCGCATCTCCAAGGCTTCATATACCAAATACAAAATGAAAAGAAAAAAGAGATAAATTTTAAATTGAAACCTTAGTAGAACAAACATAGATCAGGCAGAACAAATCAGAAATCTTTTCATGGCTGTTCTTATATAAAGCTCTATATCTATCTAAACAATTCTTTACATATTTAAATTGTTGGTGCTAGTTTTCAAAAAGACAAAATGCTTATAAAAAAAACTCAATGACATAATCTTTTAAAGAAGTTAATTTATTGATTTCTCTTTCTATTGAAGTTTAATTTAAAGGCCCATTATGCCCCGGTATGTTTTATGTTTAATTCTCAGAAGCTAATTATTTCTTGTGTCACATAATAATATCCAAAAAGTTACACATCTGCCAATTATTTAATTTTTTTTGCTTCTGTTACTTTTTGGCAATTAATACAATTATTATGATGAAAGTTACTTTTATGACTAATAATTTCACATCCAGCACTACTTTCTTCAGAACATTAGCCTTAACTTGATCTAAAACCATTATTTAACCGCCTCAAAACTCGTGAAAAATGAAAATCTTTTTCGTTCCCAAGACATAATATGCCTTTTATAGTAACTATTGTCCTGAAGCTTTCAAAGATATCGCGCAATAACGGACAAACAAAGTGTCCACGTCCATTAAAAATAATAAAGAACATGACCAATGTAAAGGATAGGCCTGAAACTTATATAACATTAAACATTAACTAGATATTGGACTTTTATAAATAATATATTATAATGTAGAATCAAATATTGATATTGAAATCTATCTATAAGCATGTTTGTAAACAATTATCTTAAGTCTGTAGAGCACATGTACGAATAAAAAAATGTCGACTAAGGTAAAGCAATATTATCTGTTTTTCATAAGAATACATTAAACAAAATAATTATAAAATAGAAGATGTAAACAAATGACAGCACACCTGTTGTTCACATTTACAAGTTAAGATATTGGCTGAATACCTTGCGGATCAGATTACTGAATCTTTTGTCGTATTCAGTATACTTTTGAAATTTAATCTCAAGCATTTTCGGAAAATTTCATAATTTTAATGAGGGTTTTGCAAAATGTTTTATCACTTTTGAGATTCATTCTTCTCTTAAGAATATTTAAACTTGAATTTAATGTCTCATAACTATGTCCTTTAAAATGAACAAATTGCCGTATATCACTTTTTTGTCACGTTGTTTAATTAATTACATTGTAAAATAAAGCTGAAATTCGTAGCTATGTTAATACTTAACATTATGGAACAAAATAAATTAGACTTTGGCTCAAGTTCAGATCTAGACCAGTCAGCACCTCCATCCCTATACTATATGTAGCTAAAATTTTGATATTGAAATCCTCATCTTGAATGGACTGCTCCGAATTAAAAACCGGTTAAGTCCATTACATTTATTTATTAGGTTAAAGATTAAATGTTATGTCAGACTCGGCTGCAAAAAGGCACCCCGTAACATACAATCAAAGATGCTATATTTTTGATACTTAAATATCGATCAGCACGATCATGTTTGTGGTACTTTCAGTTTCTTCTATATGGCCTTTTTCAATATGGATGGGTCCAGTGCTCCTGATTGAATACTGTATAATCAACCCAAGGATATGGTGCTTGCTTTTCAAATTTGTCTTCTGGCGTCTTATCTTGGTTATGCAGGCTTCAAAACATATTATCTCCTTTCAAAATCCAATTTTGTTTCATTTCGCTTATTGTTTTCTCGTGTAAGGCTAACGCTTTCTTTTTCTACGGGATGGCACGAAAGTGACATATTAAAGGTTCCATGATAACCGCCGTGTGAACACACAGATGTTTTTTCAATTCACTTTTCGTGTTTAAATTTTAAATTCTTCTTAAGCCGTTGTTTGGGCGCGGGCGGTAACTTGCAATTGTACCTTTTATTAACAGACTCTATCAAACCGAACCTGTTACAATTTTGGGCCTTTTTCAGAGATTTTTTCTATGTTTTAGGGACAGATTCAAAGCTTCAATGTTTGATGAATTGCAAAACTTATATGAATATCTGACAATTTTAATGCTCACAGTTTTAGATGGCTCAAAGGTTTAAATCTCAGATTTAACCTATCATTCATATCAAAAGTTTGAATCTACTTTCAAAACTGCACCGTTATTTGAAATCCCTTGAAATATTAAATAAATGTTAAAAATGGACCGCATTTTATATATATAACGTCTGTATGTCTGTTCTGTCTTGCAAAATAAAGTACTAGTTGTAAATCACTCGTCTCTTTTCTCCTTGTTACTTCTTTTCATTTTCAAAGCTCAAGAAAATCTACAAGTGCTGTTCTCATTGCTTTAATCAGTGACTCTATATACAAACAAGTTTGGCAAAATATGTGTTCCGGTAAACAAGGTGTGAATACTATAAAACGTACTGTATTTTATGAAGCGTAGCGTTTATTGAAATCCGTGTCGGATTGCATAACTTTTTGTATGATCCACATGAAACCTATGGAGACTTAAAACCACTACGCACAGTGTTTTATAAAGTAATTGAGGCTTCACCGGAGTATTAACTGGAGCATTCGGTTTGAAGAAAGGACTTATATACAAAGTAAGATATTTAAATTAACCGTCTTAGTAATTAATGTTTATAGAAGATTTGAAATCTTGTTCTTTATGCTAGCTAGTATTCTTGTTTTTCTTTTTAGTATATGACCCATGCGAATGTTAAATAAACACTATATTTTTTGTATCACCATCTATGTTATATTTTATCTTTTCAAGGTTATTGAACATACGCTATAGTCTTTAAAATTTTCAGTTATTGACGTACCTGCTCTGTTTTTCGTCAAAGTAAAAAACATAGTGAATCTAACTTAGTTTATACGGTATTGATTTAGCAAAATATAAGCTTATAGACACACGCTCGAATCCGTTCCTGGAACCAACCAGTACTGAACAATGAGTTGTTTCGCTCAAAGAAACAACGGCTAGCATTTGGCTAGAGATCCATAGATTACTAGTCAGACTCGTTAACCACTGGACCATGCTACCACCATGTAACATTTTAAATATCCGTTAACAATTCACATGTAACCAATTATAGTGCTTCTAACTCGATTTTCAGGATGGCATACAAACAACAATATGACGGCAGTCCAGAGTGGCTGGATACTATTTCAAGATTAGGCCAAAGTGAAGAAAGTTTTTTGTCATCTGAAGCAAAATTAACATCGGAAAAAAGTAAAGAAGAAACAAAGGATAAAGACTTCTATGGTTTTCATGGATTAAATGTACATCTATACCGAGTTTTAAGAGAGGACGAATCTATTGAAAACGGAATATTTTGTCAAGATAAAGATTCAAGCAGATCTGTTGAGCAACATATTGCATCGGGATCAAAATATAAATCAAAGTTTATCTCAACTACTTCAAGTTTAGACGTAGCCAGATACTGGGCCTACTTTGAAATGAATACACCCGAAAGAAAGGCTAGAAAAGTACCTTTGCGAATTGTAGAAATAGATATTCAACTTCTTGCTGGAACCAAATACGAGAAGAAATGCATCAATCTGTGTAATGAAGAAGTCAGAAACCACTTTATTAAGGGTGCCATTCACAAAAATTGGGCAAAGTCGTCTCAAGAGGTTCTGTTTGTAGTAGAAATTCCAAAATTTGTCTCCTTACAACAACCAACATTGGTATTTTGGTTGAAAACCGATGCTTCCAGACCAAAATCCCCAACTCCTAAAGAAGAAAAAAAGGACTTGGTTGCTAAGATGGGTTCAATGAATTTGAAATAAATCATCAGATGTTATGGGCGCTTACTATTTTATAAACGCACTCATAGTGTACATTTTCTACATATACATTAATGAATATTTCAATCATATTTTATAAACATATTTAAGAATAGAAGACTGTTCTTGAAGAATAGCAATGAAGCAGCTTTAACAAGTAAAACTCACCGACTCGTTTTGATTGAATCTGTTCATAAATATATTCATAGAGCTTTTCATAGTTAAACTTTTATTGTGTTTTAAATTTATCTAAATTTATTGATTATTGATTGATACATTGTTCAAAGTCATATATACGTTTATATTTTAATAGCTTTAGTGAATTATAATAGATCTACATGTATTTATACGCTGACATATTTTAACCATTTACCTACTGAAAAGCTTGTTAACCATAAGCTTGCTGTTTTACTTTATTTTTATCCATTTGCTTCTTTTTAAATACTTTTTGTAAAAATATTATTTTTTATATTTTTCCTAAATTGTTGAAATACAGACATTTTCATTGGTTGATTTAATAAATTATTGTATTTTCATAGGTTAACTATCAAACTCATTTTTGATAGTAATTCTTAGTTTTGGTGATTATATAATATAAAATATAGAACTATTCAGACAGTCAGATAGAAAACGTGTAATGGTTAAAGATTAAAGCGATGGTACCACAGTTATCTTCGATGCTTTTTAGTATGAATGGTTGTTGTAAATATGAATAGAGAAACTATATTTAAACAGAAAAATTGACTTCGTGAATAAACTTATAATAAACGCACTGCTTCGAGCGAAAGTGTGTGACCTTTGCCATTACCATTTTGGTATATCAGCGAACAGTTTCGTGCATTTTGCTCTGTACTGTTGATATTGGACAGTTCTAAAAACGGTAGAAGTACATGAAAACGGTTTCATGGTTTGATTAGCGTTTGTTTATAAATAAACAATATATTTTGTTTAATGCTTAATAAAAATCATATTCTTACTAGTATGTCAGTGTACATTGTAACTTGGCAGAACAAAAATAGCAAAACCTACCAAGTAAATTGATCAAACATATACATGTTTATATCATCATAAATAAACATTTAGAAACTTGAATAGAAAGCGAAATTATATAAATTAATCATGTTAACTACTTTTGAAAAAAAAAATTACCAGCACTTTCTTGTGTAAGGAATCTCAACCTCTTATGTTGTACCAAAGTCCGTGGTTGCACTCTGCCTGTAGGATATACTCTTTTGGCCAAATAGGAACATTTTTAAAGAGATTGCCTATTATAATGGTGACCCCAAAGGACGAGAAAAAACATAACAACGAGGTAAAGTAAGAACACGTTCTGCATTTTACAGACAACATACCCGATATCAAACGTAAAAACTATTTTATGTTGAGAATAATTGTTATATATGACCGACTAGCTTTCAGTTGGGTTCAAGATACAGTAAGTTGCGTGGATATTTTAGTTTTTTCTAGTTTTTGACAAGTTTTGATTTCTAAGGTTATTTTGCTCCAGATTTTAGTAATGTATCTGGGCCGTAATTATCGTAATTTATTGATCCTTTTCATCAAACATATGGCCATGCACATAACTTAGCGTAAATACAAAACGGGTCTTATCTACGCTACAAAGTCAAACATGAACACCAAGCAATAAGTAAGTTGCTATGATTTGTTTTGTTAGTTTATCATGAACGCCACATTCCAAAACTATTGTATGCTTAACATAAGACAACAATCATTCCTAATTTATCAACTTCATGTAACCTGATAAAAATTATGTTCATGTGGGTGGCGTGAAAACATTTTTCTAAACCATATGTTTAATTATTTGACAATTCACCACACTTCTCTGACTTAATTTATGTTAGTTACATATGCTAAACAATTACCTCCAAAGTGGCTGCCGCTTTTTCAATGAAGCTAAACATTGTAAAAATCTAAGACTTTCTGCATGTTTAGATCTACATGTATAGTAGAAATATCCAACTAAGCAATGTCTTTTTAAAGAGAAAAGATATGAAGAAAATAGTTTCAGTTTGAGTTAAATTACGTACGAAATTAGAAAGTTCTATTAGAATAATGAACTTGTTTCTTCGCAGAAAAAGTGATGCTCTTGTCAGTTTGATGATAAACTTTTTGCAGTAGAATTTCGGAAAATATGTTGCTTAAATTTGATAGTAATAGAAAAATGGATTCATGTCTAACTGTTTTTCGTTTCTTGCAATTCTGGAAAAAGGAAGTTCCATCAGGAGCAATGGAAACAGTAACAAAGCCTGAAAAAGGAAAGTATAATATATGTACATGAGTCAGTCCTTTACTGTAGGATGATGATTATCTTCTATCCTTGACAATGCAAGCAATTGAATATAAACACTTTCATACGATTAACTAGATAGGCGATGATAAATAACAGAATACACATGGCCACATGACTGGCATAAAGATATTCTTCTGACAATTCTCAGCCGTCAGAAGGTATTTCAAGATGTGTTGAAGAAATTTCTTCTTTGCATTTGAAGATATATTTAGAAGTTCCTCGTAGAAAAATTGTTGAAGAAACTTCCTTCAAATATGTCGATGTCATTTTCTTCCTGATTCTCCATTGCCTATTGGAGATTTTTCTTTTCTATTGAAGAAAACATCCACCTCCAAAAAGATCCAGGCCTGACGAACATATTTCTGTCTGGTATTCCAAGGCCTGTTGAAATAACCATCCTTCCAATGTCATAGACCAAGGTCTGTTTGAGAATCCCCCACTCCTTCCAAAACAAGACATCCGCAAAGGCAGGGCAACATACGCCCGATGACAAATTCAAAAGAAAGTATCGTCAACATAACTAATTTTGTGATAGTGTAAATAAAACGCATTTTAGCACAAAAACAAATAATCTTTGTCATAAAACTATGTGCTAATGCCTTTGAGATAGCAAATTTGTTGTTGTAAATAACACACATGATTTGTTTCGTGTGAAAGATGTGAAAGAAAACACATATAGTATAATTTATTTTTGAGGTAATCGCATATTAACAATAGATTGTTTGCATATAAAGGGGCGTAACTTTGTCCATAATAAATTGATTGAAGAGAAAATCAAACTTCTACCGTGTTTTGACATTACATACATGTATTCATGCCAAATATAAAAATAATCTTTGAAATCCTTCAAAAGATATTACTAAGGAATAATTTTTAACCAAATTTGCTTAAAATGGGGCATAAGTCTTTATTTATATGTTGATTGCAACGAATATCAAACCTTACCTGTATTTGAATATTACATACTTACATGTGAGGTAAAAACACAATCATTGAAATTCTTCAAAAGTCAATAATTTTGCAATAAATTTTTACAGAAAATCTGTTTAATAGGGACATAACTCTATATATAACTCAATAGTTAGTTGATTTGCAGTGTGTTTATAATACACATGCCAAGTATAAACACAGTCATTGAAATCCTTTAAAGATTAACATGGAGAAACTAATTGTGAACGGACGGACGTATGGGCGGACAACCCCAAGAGATAATACGTCCCGAAATTTCGCAAGGCGTATAAAAAAGGTATGTCCTGCCAATATAACAGATAAAGATCAGCTGAAGAAACTTCCTTCTTCCAATAAAACAGATCAGGGTCAGTTGAAGAAAAGTCCTCCTTCCAATAAAACAGATCAATGTCTGTTGAAGAAACTTCCTTATTCCAATATAACAGGTCAGGTTCTGTTGAAGAAATTTTCTTCTTCCAATATAACAGATCAGGTCCGTTGAAGAAACTTCCTTTTTAAAATATAACTGACCAATATCTGTTGAAGAAACGTCCTCTTTCAAATATATTTCTAGTTGGAAAATTTTCCTTCTGGTGGGTCATGAACTGATCCAGATATTCTATTGGTGAAAATGGCAAAAAGCACTCCTGATAAAACTCCTGGTAAGGGGGTTAAGTTGGTACAGATGATATTGAGTACAGATTATCTTGGAACCTGCGGAGCTAGAAATACATTAAATGACTTCTTAGGTAAAGCACTAGTAAATGTTAAATGTTAAAAAAAATCATATCTCATACAATGAAAACTGCTTACGAAATGCCTGGTTAAGGTTACCAGAGAAGCATAGGATTTACGCGCTTAGCTAAGTAGTAAGAGCATAAGTGCCTGTGATCTCGGGTTTGCCGGTTTGAGTCCATATCTAGGCACATCCATTTACGTAACGAGATGACTGACGTCAGTATGTCTTCGACTGATGCTTCAAATGATTAATTTGAGGCAACTGACAGTAACGGGGGACAAAAGAATCCAACACATCATACATCGCTCTTCTGAGAAAATTGAAGAGAAATTTACAAGTTCTAATACAGAAGATCCTAGCAAACTGTAATTATACCTTAGCAGTGCTTCATATAGATTTAGCCTAAATTCATACCATGCTGGTAGCTCTAGGATAGGGCCAGGTCTTGAACCTAGTAGTTGAGGTGTCTGCCTCTCAACCCATGAAACATGGGTTCGAGTCCTTACCGGGTCACTATCATGTTTCTTCATATAACACCAGTACTCCCTGGTTCCAGGAAGCGGACTCGAAAGTGATAAGTTGCAAGAACTTGTTTCGCAACTAAGCTTAAATAAATAAGTTTAAACCAGAGACTGGTCAATATTTTAGCTACAGGTGATGTTGTTGCAGACAAGATTCTACCCTTAGTATGTACACGTTATGAAAAGGCACCAGTGAATCGGCAGAATATTTAGAGCTTGACTGGACTTTGCTTCACTAAGAACATGTTAATTGGTTAAGATCCGAGCGCTGTGTGTGTATATACAAGGCAGAACCTAGATGTCAAACTACCACCACACTGCTTTGAGGAGTTCATCTACTCTCACACTCTACGAACCAGCTGTCGATGTACTGGCTGAAGCCGAGGACAGTATACCTACAGAGTAAACAGGAATGACGAGGGAGGGTACAACGTTGGGTAAACCCCTTAACCACAGTAACGACTTGTAAGGCAGGCTTTTTGCTTGGCACCAACAATATACCTGGAAATTGCATGGAGATAAATTATCACCACTATGAGCTTCAAAATTAAGTCTTTCAGGGAATGGCTGGTGACAAGTCCGGGGTTCATATTTGGCAGCGAAAGCTGCTTTTTGTGTCTTACCGGGTTAAAAGACCATCATTAAAAACATAGGCTTCAGACAGATAGTTTCAGACAAGATGATGTAAAAATTTGTGAATTAGTGTATGTAAAATAAATGAGGACAGGTTCGTCAATTTTGACCCTTAAGGGAATGATTCATATGACTAGTGGAATACAAAGTAATACTTCGTACCAATTATTTAAGCCTTGGGTTTATAATTTCTGACAGAATCATTTAATATTTAAAACCTCCTGACCTACTTTATGCAATAGTCCTTTTTCCGATGTTTTGTAGCAGACCATCCTTTCTTGGTTTTACTTGTTTTACGCACAACACAGAAGCTGTGATGTCACAACTTTCTAGCTTTACTGATAGCGGAAGATCGTCGGTGTTTCGCCATGTGTGGACGATTTAAGAATCATATTTGTGCAGTTTGCTAAAAATCTACCAAGCGTTTTAGGATGGTTTCATTGGAGCTATTCATAATGTGTGTAAAGAGACGCACTATGAATGACGATGAACACTATAGCCAATCACATTAGAACTTTGTAAAGAAAAACCCAAGACATGATTTTTTTTTCATAAAATGCTAAGTTTTTATTTCAAGTTAATGTTAGAGATAGATAGACAATAACAGTCACAGACATAATTTGTTCATATAAACATACATTGTATCAGCTGGTCTGATATTGATGGTGATCACCATGGCAACGCGCTGAAACGTCATCGCATTGCCATGGAAACCATGAATGACATCATTTGCGATGACGTCAGATATACAGAATGGATTTTTAGAGAACTGAAATATACACATGTTAGCGTACATGATAAATTAAGTTACTGATAATAGTTACATCTAA